AGCCACCTGACGACGACAGGCTGTCCAGTGCTGGCTCCATGAGGCGTCCAGCTGGGGCCGATTACCTACCACCAGACGCATCTCCAGTGTCTTCAGCAACAAGAGGCTGCCAATCTGTGTGCCAACTCTAAGGAGACAACTCTACATGTGGGACAAAGGCAATGTGAAGACATCAGGGCCCCAAGGAGGGAGGTTAAACACAGCACTGCACGAAGCCATGGGAAAGTGTGAGTGCTCCGTCACATGGGACCCTTAGGAGAAATGACCACGAGGGGCTTTTTAAATGAGCAAAGGCAGCTTCTCCTTGAGCAGTAAGGACCTGACTCTCGACTCTACTGATCCACAGCCACAGCTCCAACCAGGCTGGGTTCTGTGTATTTTTCAAAGATCAAAAACAAATACCGACACTAAGATATACTTCAAAAATCCCTAAAGGTTAGTATCACAGGACAGAAGCTGCTCGTTTCCCAAACACGAAATCTGACTGACGAAGTTAACCCTGTGGCATGTTGGGAGGTTCCAGGGCACTGGAAAGAGACCTGTCCCCAGGAAAAGGCTATGATAGGTGATGGGCAGGGCACATCTCTAAAAGGACCTGTAACTACCGCTCTGAAGAGGCACAATGCACTAAGGCTACTTCTTCGTCTCTGCTGGTCCTTGAGCGGCGTGGCACGGGGGCTTCCAATATGCCCTCCCCGCCACTGCCCACCTCTTCCAGTGACCGCCGACAGGGGTCCTCTCCCCATGGGGGGTCTTTTCTTCCTCTTGACAGAGACTGTTAGCGATGTCTTAGTCTCTGCTCACTCGACCCCATCTCGCTACACTACCGTACAGAGTCGCTGCCGGGAGCTGAGCGCGGGGCTGCGTCTGGCTCATCACACTGACAGGACCAGGTCAGATGCCGGGCCCGCCGAATGCTTGGGAGTCTGTCAGAGAAGTCTAAACGCCCGTCCGAAGGGGGACCTAGCACCTCTTTACTGCAGCAGCTCTTTACTCTGTCAAGTTACATCAATGACAAACAAAACAAAAAACCCACGGAAAGACATTTCTTATTTCTAACAGTTAAAAGAGAACATAGGTTCGCTCATCAACAAAACAACTTACAGCCAATTTATCCTCCTCTTCGTTCTCACTGTGCCATTCCGATTCTGCGTCTGTCGGCTCAACATCACCGGTGACGAATTCCCTCCTCTAAGTGAGAACGAGACCTTCTTAGAGCCACGTTAAGTTATTCGGAAAACCAAGGCTTAACGTAATGAGCTTGTAAATAGAGTCTATGAAAAGACCGTGAAAACTGGAAGCTTCTGTAACTTATTCTGAGGTTCTAAGTTTTAGGGCTTAAAGAATAACATTCAACGATTCACTGGGTAGATCTGGATGTGTCGCCTACAGACAGGCTTGAGACGTGCTGACTGGGCTTAGGGCCGAGCCCCACCTTGTCGAAGAGAGGCTGGTACAGCGCTGCGTACTTCCGCTCTAGGCCGTGGACCTCTTCGTAGAACTTGGCTTCTATGTGTGCACACTTCACCTGGAGCTGTTTCAGCGCGTTGATTCTTCTCTTCACTGCTTTTGGTAAGCTAGAAGGCGGCGGAGAAAACAGCCACACGCCTACTCAATCGAGGTGACATGCTTTTCGATTTTATTAAAATAAATTTAGGCTAACAGAGAATTAACATCCTCACTACGAAGAAGAGCTAACCATCATTAAGAAAAGGGCGGCTGGCACTTGGCGTGCAGTCTGTCGACGTGGAACTTATTCTAATCCCACGAGGCCCCATTCCCAGCCCTCCGTTTCCTCTCAGTGAAGGCGCCTGTCACCGTTTCTAAAGCTGGAAAACTAGAAACCAGTACTCGCCATCGACCCCCCCACTGCCGCCCAGGACCTCCACGTGCACTGACTCCCGTCTGCAAAATTCTCACAAAACCTGCCCCACGATGTCACCTGCCGGTCAACTCTCCATATGGGCAGGGCAGACCCAGAGTGTCCCCTCCCCATCATAACAACCGCAGAACACATCAAGCCCTTTGTCGGGGAACCACATAGAGGGTGGACAACTCTTGATTCTGAGACCAAGCCCTGCACTGACAGATGGAAGCCCAGGAACAGCTCGTCCCTTCCAGAAGGAAGACAGCCAGGCCCTGAGGGACAGTCCCAGTGGGGCATCGTCGTTCTCGCCATGCAGTGCAACCAGGACACAGACCTCTTCTGACAAAGCAAGGGTTTTGGTGTCGCGGGTTCACGCACGTCAGCCAGGGACAGGTTGCTCTCTTAGGTGACTAGGAGCCACCAGGAAGAGAAGGCATTCTGCCCCTCCGCCTGGCACGTCCTTCCCCCCGACCCACAGGGTGATCGGCGAGGCCCTGGACAGCAGCACACACCGCCACTGGGCACTCGGCACACTGCGTCCTCTCTGCCAACCTGTGTCCCGCTACCGGACTCGGAGCCCGAGCTCTCCCGTCTGCAGCCCCGGTACTGGCTCTCAGCAGGCTGTCCGCAGAGCGGAAAACGCACCTACTCCTATGTTAAGGGGCCAGAAACCCGGTCTCCTGCTCAGTTCCCTGTGGCAGCGTGAGCCTCGCGCGCAGCATACTCACGTCTCGATGTAGCTGGAAGGGGTGTGGGCAACACTGTCGAGCCGCTCCTGCAGCGCCGCCAAAACCTGGGGATTCTGCATCACCTGATCCGTGAGCTTCTCTGTTAAGAGACCAAAAAATATGTTTTGAAAATATTTATTTGAAAGGCGACTGAGCCTCTCAGTTTATCACCCGAGAGCGTGGTCAAAGTCTCCAGAAGGGCACGCCTAGAGACTCCGGCTCTCACCTTAGCTGCTAAAGCTCCAAATCCCCCAACTGAGGACGTCACCATTTCCTAAGTTCAAGGACTTTATCTCCTGTCACCTCGCCTTCCCTCCCCAAGTGTCATGGCAGGGAGGACAGGGGTAACCTGACGGTTCCTCATGGGAAGTCAGCGCCCACTCACGCCATGGCTCGCTGACCCTCAGCGGTTCCGAGCGGCAAGGCCAGACTTCCACGCGTTCCTTGGCTTCACCATCACCTACCGTGTCCCCCTGCCCAAACCTGCCTACCCCAGAGAGTGTGCCCTGACCACACCCCCACCCGAGTCACTTGCCTCCGCCATGCTGCCTTCGCAGCTCACACTCATCTGTACTGTTTCCCAGGAGGGAAGCGGGGCCCCCCTCCCCTCCACTGTAAACGCAGAGCGGCCCGCTCCCCTCGCACCTGCACAGAAACCTAAGCTTAGCGCCCTGGCCGGACTCAACAGGTGGGTCCTGCCTGGGAGCCCTGCCCGCCCTTTTGTAACAAGTGACAGCGGCCAGCAAGAATAAGATTTTAACTGCAAACAGCCACTAACATGAAACACTGTGTTTAATGTACGTAACTGTGTGTGTGTGAAACCACACACTACGTGTACACACAGACGCACATTGCGGCCTAGAAACAATGACACGGGGCATCTGCATTTTGGTTTTTAAATCTCTTTCACCACCAAAACGAAACAAAACAAAACGGGGTCCCGGGATGAATGATCGAGTCCAGGTCCGGGGCAAGGGAAGTTCAAGGGAAAATGGAACACCGCTGTGCCACAAAGCTACTCAAAGAGAGCGCTCGCAACTGACAGGGACGGAGCAGAAGGACGCAGAGGGCAGTTTCTGTGAAGGGCCCTCCACGGGTCAAATGGGACAACCTGCACACCAAAAAGAGTGACGGTAATGAATAAAACGAGGAACGAACGACTAGGCCGGGTGTCCCCAGTGACGCTGAGAGGGGAAGAGGACGCCGTCTGCTCTGACAGGCCGTGTGCGGGGCCGGCAGAAGGAGAAAACATCTCTGCAGCCACCGCTCACTGTGGGCTCGGCGAGGACCATCGACAGGCGTGGAAAGCACCATGTGAACGTCTCGTGGAGAACACGATATCCTCAGGGGACCAGGCAGGTCACGTCCTAACAGGACCCTTATGTGGCGAGGTCTGGCAGACAGTCTCAACCAAGTCACAGATCTCAGTACCCTGTCACGGGTCTAGTCATTTCCCACTACACCCGGTCACCTATGTGGCCGTCTTGCCAAAATGTCTGCCCTGAATCGGAGGAGGAAACCAGCAGACAATGCGGAGCGTGGGTGTGCACTGGACAGCTGGGCAGAGCCTGCAGGCATGTCACTGCACCAAGGGTGAGAAGGTGGGCGATGACTCTACGACAACAGAGGACAGAACCGCATGCAATGCCGGACCGCGGGCTAGTCCTAGACCTGGGTGCGGGGTGAGCACGACTGCACGTCAGCCGACGCTGCCCCAGCAACGGCAACGTATGGGGCGTGGTAATAGCTCGTGGTGGTGAGAATTCATCCTGGGTTTTAGGAAATTTATACTAAACTGTTTTAGGGGCTTTTTGCCAGCATATCCTCAACTTGCTTTCACAGAGTTCGGGGGACCCACACTCTGAAAGTATAGATTTCAAAAGGGAGGGAAAAAATGCAGCTATGAATTTATGGACAAAATATGACATCCGGGCTCTGCTTCAGAGCTGGGAAGAGAAGCGGGGGCTGCTCATCGACTCGGACGCTGAGACTGAGGCGCGCCCTGTGCTGTCCCCGTCGCTTCTGCAGTCTGAACTTCCTATAATGGAAACTTATAGAACGAAGCACTAACTTTCCTTTTTAATTACTCTCACTTTCCCTAAAATCTGTGAGTAATCCTCTGCTTGTATTATAAAAGGTTCGAGAGCAGGAGACCCACACTCTGCACGCAAACGCCCCAGTTACCTCCCACGCGCACCGAACTGACCTGAAGTACTGGCATTTTTAGCAGCTTCCAAGGAATCCGAAGGAACCCCATCTGAAAAACTAGAACATGTTTAAAAAGTATTATTGTAAACAAAGTGCTGAAGAGAAATACCACAAAGGCATTCTTATTTATGGTATTAAGAGGTATCTCAACAGTGACTTTGGATTTGGTCGGTAGAGTACTATGGACACACGTGTTACATATGAGACACTTTATTTAAAAAACTCTACTACTTAACACCTCCTACCCTACACGCCACCCCACATAGCTCTTAATTTCCAACTCTGGCCAAAGCTGCTTAATTTTCATTTCTACAAATTCTTTCCTCAAAAAATCTGCTCTCCCTGCTCTCACGCCAAACCCACTACTCAACCAAAAAGCATGCCATTGCTAAAGAGATCAAAGAAAAGCCACCTTCCCAAGTTGTGACGGCACAGTGCCCACGGTGACTCTAAGCTAGCTAGACAACATCTCTAAAAACAACTACACTTGACAAAAATAGGTCTAACATTTTTTTCAGAATGCCTGGACACACCTCCCTCACCCAAAATAAACCACATAAAACACTATACACAACCAAATGTGACATTTGGAATAATCCACAAAACAAGATCTTTCACTTGACCACACATAGGAGGCTGCAGGCTGTTAGGACGGTGTTAAGTCAATCATGTGACTTTACCAGAGCGTGTAAAAAGCCAGAAGAACAAAATGATCACTTCCCACAAAAGGTTTTAAGTATCAATATTTTGAGACACATTTCACATCAGAAGCAATTTCTTCATGGGCTCAAATACACAGGACCAAAAAAAAAAAAAAGAAAAAAGAAAAAAAGCCATCAGCTGGAGCTTCTACTGATGTTGACTAAAATATGGCTTGGCACTTGCTCATCAACTAAAATTTAAACTCCAACGAAGTCCATTTTAGCTTACCTGTTATCTGCCATCTGAATGTTTTTATCTCCTACAAATTAAAGAAGAGTTGTAACAATTAACATTACTAACATTCACAAACAAAAAAATGCATCACATGTACTCTTTTTCCCAGTGTTGTCTACAGGAATGAGGCTCTCCTAAGAAGGGGAAGAGGGGACTTCCTGGGTGATGGGAACGTCCTGGATCTTGAATGGGGTATTGGTTACCTGGACGTACATACCTGTCGAAACTCACCTATTACAGTTAGGATCTGTACATTTCAATGTGTGCACATTTTACTCATAAATATTTCTTTTGTTGCTACTAAAACGATCAGACTTCAGAATAAGATCGATTCTAATTTGCCTTATCTCTGTAATAAGTTTTAGCAACAGGAATATATATTTATGCTAGACTAATTAATTTTAGAGCAATCCAAAGTATTTACTGGTGTTTATACTGTCTTTCAAACTCTAACTCAGAGGATGATTTTAAAATTCTATTATTTATTCTGTATGTTCTCTAACTACTACACTGAAGATGTGGTGCATATGTAAAAACATGTAATACGCTCCATATGATCCCACTTTTACAAGACACAGATTAAAAAAAGTTCATCTCTAGATCAGGTGACTTATCCCTATAAATATTAATGGTGGGTTCTAGAGCATTTGCTTCTTAAAAAGAACTGACATATGAAATTTCAAAACCCTATCTAAACGCGTAGAAGAGTCCTTAAAAGAAAACTAGTGTAGAGGTTTGATGAAGTTCCTCAACCTTAGATGCTGTAAATACACTTCAGAGTCTCTCTGAAGGATTGTCCCAACAGGTCAATGTTTCCCTTGGAGGTATCTGAGCCAAGTCCAAACCCCTCAATCACAATGCTTTAGAGTAAAACAAAAAAAACTCCGTATTTAAGAAAAACAGCTCCAACTGGAACTGATCTGCGACCGTCTTGCACTTGACTCAATAGCATTTTTCTTAAGTTATTTGTTATTTATTAAGTTAAAATTTAAAATACTATGTAAATGTTACACTGTCTTTCTCAAAGAGCTAAATGATTTCAGGAAGCAGATGAGAACCATAAGGGAAAAAAATGCAATGCATCCTACAATGGCTGGCCATACCCACACCACCCTGCCAGTTCGGAACGCACAGTCAGCCAAGTCGGTGAAGGGTTTGAAAACCCTTCAAGGATCCCCATCACCTTCTGCTGAGTCCAAAGTCACACCACACAAAAATCTGAGTTCCTACACTTTCTAGTTCTGTCTGCCTCATCTCGTTCCCAGCTCACGCTCCCGTGTAGTTTGCAACATGCATACAACTGCAATCATAGTACTCAAGCTTATATTCTGCTTTGCCACGTCATAAATGCAACACGTGAGACAGGAAGGTCTTCAAAATAACATCTGATGACAACATTCTTAGACCTAATATACTTACCATTTACCACTGGTTCGACACTGAGGGTTCCCCTCCTGTGTCTTTGATAACATCCATGTTTATACGGACGTTAATTCACATGGCTGTCCGTTTATATGCCTTCCCACCCCCAAGTTATCCTTTGCTTAGGACAGGAGAACTGTGATAGTAGGCTGCCTACTGTCATGCTGGTCACCCACGAACCCCAACTACGACATGGCTATGTAATTAAAGCCCACTGTCTAACCAATGCATCCAGCAGTACCTCCCCAGACCAGACCATACACACCCCAACTGCTGGGAGGAACCTGCTCTCTCCTGAGGCAGCTGTCACTGCCGGCTTAAAGGACAGACTCCAGATTTCATCCATCAGTAACAACAAAGCCACACACCTAATCCCAGTACCTAACTGGCAAGGCACCTATGTGACAGGCACTTGATTACATTTTATGCCCATGCCAACACTACCAGGGAGGGAGCATCAACAGGGTATTAGGACGGGACACTGAGGCTGGAAAAGGCGATAGGCCTAAGCCAAGGCCACGTGGCTAGTAAGATGCGGACTTGGGTTTCTGTCAACCTATAAGAAAGGTGGTAAACTGAGGGGGCCTGAGTGCCCAGAACTCTAGTTTATTTGGGAGCAGCAGGAGTGCATTACGAGACCCGCAAACTGCAGCAACTGGGGCATCCACTGAGGTTAAGGACAGATCGGCCTTGTGGGGAGAGTGCCAAAGGGGTCAATCCAATTAGGGGTCAAGCAGCAAGCTCACTGGTGGATGGGGGAGACCCTTGGTGGACATTCATTAGTCAGAGGATAAGTTTCAATCTCCTCTAAACCAAGCATTTCCAAGACACCAATCTCACAGTCTCTGAGTTTCAACTTTGAGGGCACACGCGTGAGATGCTCCATCTCACATCCTTGTCCCGTTTTAGACTAAACCCTCTCACGTGCTCCCTCTAATCAAGGTCTCTTGCAGAAAGCATCGCTGATCAGCCCTGCTGTAACGGGGAGCTTGCTCGGAGGCCTCATCAGGACAAAGGATCGAGAAATGAGGCCTCTCAGCTGCGTCCCTCCGCTATGGTCACTTCTATTTCCATGGTCAGTGGAGCTCCAGGAAAACACCTTGGAAAGAAAAAGAAGTGCATTTTGTACATGCGTCTGGGAGGAAGGCACTGGCCTGCGGGTCCAAGACAGGAGAAATTTAACGGGGAGGATGACACCCAGGGACGGATGACCAAAATAGCTATGGACACTTTTCAACCAGCTCCAGCTGCCTATACTTAAAAAGGTCGGAAGTGTTCCAGGTCCCTGGGGCTTGGCCTAGTTCCGGTAAGTCTGATAGTATTTTTCACCACTTTTGGTTCTCGTGTTATGTCCCCCAATTTGTTAACGTAACAACAGCATCCTGGCCCCCAAGCAGGGAGTAAGTCCCTCCGTCTAGGCGGCGAGGAGGTTCGGGGCTCAGTGTGTCCAGGAGCACTCCTGCTGGGCTGGCTGGCCGCGCCTGCTGATATCTCAAAGCTGTAACAAAAGCAATGAAGGCAGGAGCCACGGCCTAGGGAGATTCTGAACTGCTGGTTCAGGTTCTGCTGCTCCAAACCAAGGGACAAGACTCGGGTGGGGGCATACCCCAATGACTTTCTATCTACGAGGGGGTATTTGTGAGTGTCCACCCCAAACAGCATCCATCCCAACCCTTTTAAGCTGGCAAGAGAACCACTGAAGCTGGGTGCACAAGGTTTGTCTGGTACCACCCTTCTGAGGACAGTGGTCAGGTCCCTAGCTCATGTTCATTACAAATGCTATTAACTCTGGAGCAAATCCAACAATAAGTAAGGTTGGCAGAATCAGAAAAGGTTTGTCAGGTGGGAACCAAGGGGTACATCACAGCCAGAACTGAAGGCAACGAGGAGCCAGAGAAAGGACAGCTCCACTTGTAAGCAGCATGACCTGGTCAAGCAACACGGAATCGGGCAAAGGGGGAGGTTATGCGGGCCTCAGATGGGCATCTTGGGAAAGCCGTCTACTACCGACATCCTCTGCTTTAGTCCTTGGAGATTTTTAGCTCTAAGTCACCAGATGGGGACCACGTCCACTCAGGTTTCGGGGTCTTTTTTACACGGCACGCATGAATCCAGGAATGTGTCTCCTGGAGCTTGATGGCACAGGGGTTAGTCAGGGACACTTCCAAAGAGGTGTCCGGCAGACAAGGGTCTCCAGGCTGCAGTGAGATGTGATGTCACCTCTCAGGGACATGCTGTGCAAAGGCTGTGCCACAACAATGTGGCTGTTCTCAGTGGATCTAATTAGATTACTGCAAAACTGGAACAAGCAGATGCCCTTTATCAGCTGCAGGTCAAACAAAGCCAGGGCGAAACGCACGGTGATTTCAAAGGCGAGTGCTGACGAGGCACGAATGGAACACAGCTAACATGGTGCAGAGCCAGCGGCAGTACTTTTGACCAAAATATTTGGAGTTTCAACTAATTCGGCCACTCGATCTTTGTAATTCCACTTGAATTCTGGACCAGTCCTGAAGACAGGATGGCAAGCAGTGGGAATGGCCACAAGGCACAGACCTATCCAAGTACTTGGCCGGTGAAGTGGGCCTCCTGGTCGCTATGGAGCTCCTGGGTGGCCCCACTATGTGGGAATCTTTCCTAAAAGGACGTTAGCTACAAAAGAGGTGGTCATCTTTCCATACGGAAATGCTTCAGTCCAATGTAAAAACAGAAACAGCATCATTAGAACACATTTACATTCACGAGGCAGGGCAATTACACGAAATCTGTATGCCAGACCCTGAATGGTCCACTGGGTAAATTAAAATGTCCCAGGGTGGTACAAATAGGCTTCCCTGGGTTGAATTTCAGACAGTCTGGAGCAAGCAAGAGAAGCACTTTTAGTAGCCTTGCTAATGTTTTCCACTGATACTGATGCATAAATGCTGCCATTTTCTCAGTGGGCCAATGGTTTAATTCGTGTCGGTGGTCAATAAAGGAAGTTTTAGATTGAATGGAAGGACTGGCTTATTACTGGGTCCAAGCCAGAGCCCTTTTCTTTGTGGTTCCAAGCAAGAGCCTTTAGATTTCCGATTCTGTGTTCTTCCTGGGGCCAGCTGCTGCTCGTCCCTGGTTAGTTCTCTCGGGTCCTCACCAGGGGAGTAGCCTTTTGGACCATGACAGAGTTCTGGTCCATGGATCTCCTAAGAGCGGCATTTCTTGCAAAGGTATCGGCGAGGTGCCTTCTTTTGGCTTCCAGAATTTCTGCAGTAATAACGTGGTCCTGCAAGGTGGATTTGCTTTTGGCATCTCCATCTGTTGGAGTTGGGGCGTCAAAATCTTGGTTGTCTTTCTTTCGGTGTCATCTTCCAGGATGCTAGCCGACTCATCGGCCAGGGTGGACACGGTCTCTTATGGTATAGAAGTTCTTTTGACTTAACAAGATATAAGTCTTTGTTTAAGCCATTTATAAATTAAAAGCCACCTGGGCGGATTCCACATCTACAGAAACTTGGAATTTCCTTAACGACGACCTGGAGTCTGCTGCGATGTCATGGAGAGACGCAGCAGGCTTTGGGTGCCGAATCTCATCCTAGCCCCCGGGCTTGGGGAAGGCTCTAGGGC